ATATTCGACTAAGTTATTCACAGAGTTCATCACAGTGTATTTCATAAATAGATTTCTTGGCTCTTGTTAAGTCTAAAAAGTAAACAGCCGTGGTCTATTTTCATATGCAAACATTTAATTACATATTTGTATTTGATTTGAGTAGATTTCTAGGAGATTCTTGTGATATACAATCTTTGAATTTGTTTATTTTCTATATCTTCTGAATTTAACAGACCAATATTTTGAATAATCTTCATATTACTCTAAAATCTTCTGTAATTGTCCAACTTCTATTCTTAATTTAGACATCTCTGTGTCACGATGACTCCAACTCCTTTGATTTTCTTTATGTTTTTCTTCTTTAATGCCAAACTTTAATGTTTAATATCTGGGTGGGGCTTTCTGGACAAATAAAGGTAAAAAACAAACAAAACAAAAAAAAATACTGACCTCTACATTCCTCTATTCGAACTTCAATAACAGGGAGATGAGAAGTCATGTCCTCCAGAACGCAAACCTCTCCAATCAGATTGCTACAAAAAATTAGAACAGAACGCTATGAGACCATCTCATAAATAAAACTCATAAAGCACCAATAATTCAGTTGTTAAAATGCTAATTTACTCAGGACAAGAAAGTTTATTGGCTGAAACTCACTCGTCTATGGTGACATCACTCAGCTTCTTCAGATTGTCTCCTTCTCCTCCATAAACTGTCACTCTCTTGGGCATGTAGTTGTCGTCTGTCGAGTCCACAGTTAATATCAGCTTACTGTAGGAAGAAAAAAACAATAAACCCTCTTCTGACAGAAAAAAGGATTCACTGCTTCTTCGGTTGTTGTTAAGGTTTAAGTTGTAGGAATCCATTGAAGCAAGAAACAAGCGACCTGAGACACATAAGGATAATTACAAAGTCAGTCTATCATCTGAAGAACATTTCCAGGACTAAAAATGACAAATGTATCAGCAAATTCTAGGGAAACTCATCCACGCATTATCTTTAGTGGCATTAGTTTGCAACATTGTATTTACATGTTTGCCAAAAAAAATCAGACCATTGCAGCATGAATACTAGGAAACAATTTTGTTCTTTTTGTTCATTGTGTTCTAGTTTTTATTACTTGGACTTGCCTTGTTGATGAAATATGATATTCAAACAATCTTGACTTGATTTATTTGTGCTAATTTCATTTTTATTGGTGAAACTTTCTGTATTTGCTCAATAACTTTGTACATAACTGATTTTACCCATCAATATTTGACTGTAGGGCATCTATTTTAATTGGTGAAAAACTATTTTCCTTTGTTCAACAACGGACCTATAATAACCTGAATATCATTAGTTGCAACTTTTCTTTTTTTTTTCTTATTTTATCAGTCGTATAATATTTCTGTTAACTGTTTTATGTTTTTACGTGCCTTGTTGCTGAAATGTAGTTTACTAATAATCATTGTTAGTTCTTTGTATGCTGCAGTGTGTGTTTGCATGTTTAATTATACTTGCAAATTGCTTCTAAGTAAATGAAGCTCTGACTTGTTTGGTTTCTTTTTTGAGGGGAAGGACTAAAATGCAAAACTCCTGGTAAGAAACCAGACTGTGAAGCTTCCCAACAAATAGCTGCAGGAGTTGCTGGTACATGCTGCGTCTCAGTTAAAGACATGCTGGGAAGTCAGTGATTATTCTTTAAAAAATTGTACACATAAGATGCTAAAATACAATGTATTTTATGGGCAATGGAAATAAGAATGACTAAAACATCCATCTAGGGTTTTTGCAATAACAAATTCAGGCTTCAAATAACAGAGAATGTGAGGAAGATGTAGATTTATAACAACAGATATCAATATTTAACTATAATATCGCCACTGTGTGAATCCCTAATATTGCTCAGCCTTTTCCGAGGCGTTATGAAGATGCCAACCACTGAGCTTTAAACATAAATGACCCGACAGACAGCTGGTTCCTACTTGACCACAGTGCCTCTCTTCATGAGCAGCCGGATCCAGTGCTGCCCCTGCATGCCGTCGCTCTCCCAGTAGGTTTCGGTGTCGCCATCAGTCAGACAGGTCACCCCGCCGTTGGGATCCTCCTGTCGTTAAACATCAGTTTGATTCAATGCAATCAGATTTTTTTCCTTATTCGACCTACGTTCAGATCTTTCCATCCAAATAAAAAATGTGAGCAGTTCCTCTTGAAAACATTGATTTTGAAAGCATCTGCGATCTGGACAGTTACATTTTTATGTTCTGGTTCTGACTGCACATCCAAACAGACTTCTCTGAAGAAGAATGCTCATCAAAAAGCCGTCACTATTAGATAGCCTTTCACCTTTTCATTATCTTCTTCCATCTTGTCAACATCTTGTGACGATGCATGACAAGATTAAACTTTAAAATGAACAATGATATTGTTAAATGAGACCATTCTCAGTTAACATTTTCTGAGACTAAAGAACCAGACTGAAGTTTTTTCTCATTCAGTTTTTAGTAGAAATAGAAAAACAATGAATCACGTGAAGAAGAAGCAGTTAAACATCTGCATGTCGCTCACCGAGCTTGAAGACACTTCGATGCCGGTGACGCACTGCTTCACGCTCCCCAGGTTCTCATCCTCCTTTCCTATGTGGTCGTAGAAATAGTGCACCAGGTCCTCGTCGCATTCGTATGTCCAGGTGGGAGGAACGTACCTGAATGTGCAGGTAACGTTTAAACTCTCCACCTCGTTAACAGTAAACAGTCGCTTCAAACGGCCGTGCTCACCTCAGCTTCTGGACAGCTACCGAGTCGCACTCTGCGATTTTGGGCTTGGAACCGATGAAGAGTGCGTTCTCCACGTCCACCACCTGCTCCCACCTATAGCAGGGTTTGTGGTCGTAGCCGAAGAGCTGCTGCTGCCGGCTGATTGTCTCTGGCGACTCCACAGGAACCAGCCTGTCGCCTCCCTCTGTGTGCTTACACACCAGGATCCAGCCCTCCTCCAGCTCCTGGCCGGGCCGCAGCTCCTCCAGCTGCTCCTGGGGACAGAAGACCGTCGTTGGGTCGTCAAAACATCAGCAAAATGTTTCTCTTAATATCACAACTTTGACTGATATCATACAGAATGAAACTGAAAACACTTCCTTCTAAAATGCTGCAGATTTGTCAAATAAATGTGTAATTCAGTGCATTTATGCCTGTGTTTAAAAAAGAAAAATCAATTCAGCACTGCTTTTTGTATCAGATCGGCATTTACTGATATTAAACCTCAGATATCGGTATTGGAAGTGACTTGATGCATCCCTATTTGTGGGACAATAAAGGATATTTCTATTCTATTTTAACTAATGGAAAAGGATGATGAACTCACCTTGTTTATTTTGACCCAGAGACCCTGGCTGTTGCAGTACTCCTCCCCTGTGGTTCTGATGCAGGTCCCTTTCTTGGGCTCTATGCTGTACTTGCACAACTTCTTGCTGTGTGGAACCTGGTGAGGGCTTTCGAAGATGGCCAGAAGGTTCTTCCCCACCGTGGATGGTCCTGTAGCAGCTCCGGCAGCAGCAGAGCAGCTGGAGGATGAATCCTTGCAGATTTTGTAGCAGACCTCTTTGGGAACATAACACAAACTCTCAGGGATCGGCTCACTCTTCCTGAAGCTCTCGATGCACCTGTTCAAGAAGCGGATCCTGCCCAGGAGGAGGTGAGGGTTGTCTCCCAGAGCCATGGTGGAGAGGATGAGCAGAGGATCAACAGCCCGGCAGCAGCAGGGGGAGGACAGCTGACATTACACCTCTGCCCTGTTGTGTTTCCCAGCCTGGATGCAGGGATGCAGCTGCAAACAATACAGAACATTCCGCCTCAAAACACGACGCACAAAAGCCTCAAACGTCAGACATGACTTAATCAGAGGGCAAAGTTCACTCACTCTCAATAAAGAGTCGCCTCATTTCTAAAGGTAAAAGTCACTGTGCTAATGCTAATATGCTAGGTGTTCTATAATGACTGGGACTCTGACACTTTATCAACAAAACCTAATAAAAAATACAGCTAAATATCTGAAATACTAAGTTAGACAAACGTCACACAGTTTAGGAACAAGCCCGGAAGCTGTCTTCAGGAACAGTAAATGTTAACGCACCTGCAGGGAAGAGTTTAGATGGAGAAAGTAGTCTAGGATTGATTTCTGACAACGCGGAAGTGCAAATAACATCCGCTCGGTTTCCCTTTCAAAACAAAAGCTCGAAACCGTTTAACGTTCAACAAGCTGCGTGTTGCTCAAAGCTGTGACTTTAAATAACCAGAGAAGACAAAACTTGTGTTTAAGTTAAAGTAGCACTGCTTAAATATATTTTTACTCAAGAGAAAGTAAGTAGCAGCCATCCAAGAATTTACTTACGAATTAAAAAGTGTCACAAAAAAAGGCAAACAGACTTATAATGACTGATTATTTCATCAGACATATATAGAGATATGTACCTTCTGGAATTAAAGACTAAAATAAAGAAAAATAACAAATAAATAGCATAGTTACAAAATAAAAAATGCAGGAGGAAGATTTGATTTTTTTAAATGTCAGATACCTGGTTTGTTCATTCAGTGAAATTACTCACAGTGGGTAGATTATACAGAAATTTTACTCAAGAAAAATATAAAGTATGTTTAATAAAACTACCTTTAAAAGTACATTTTCCCCAGAAGTTACTCAGTGTAGGAGAGAAACAGTCTTGAGATTCAAGATAGGAAAAGGATCTCCAGTTCCAAACACTCGCCCTGATCTCATATTCATGAAAATAGCTAAATGTAACGTGTTATCTGAAACTTCATTTTAGTAAAGTGAAATTTGGCCAGACATTATGAATAAGTCAATGTGATGCTCATCTTTTATTCACTATAAAATTTAACTTGGACGATCAAGTCAAGCCCAAACTGTGTGTCAATGTGAATGTATTTATATTCTGCTTTACAACTCAGCCAAACAAAACAATTAAACAGTACAAACAGCAAAACAAGGAAACTAAATGATTAACAATCTACTCCCAGTGGGCAAGGACTGCTCAAGCTCCCCCCACTTCTCTGTGCCTCTGGGTTAATGTTATGCAAACAACTTTTATGTTTATGCTATGTTTGCACATATTTCTCTGTACTTCATGTTTTCAAACACAAGATGTTCATGTTTTTATTTCAATAAAAGTTCAATTTAATTCAGTTCATTTTATTCAGCAGCAATTCAAAACAAATGTTTTTACAAACGTCTCTTCAGGTTGATTGATGCTAATTATCAAACAATGCTCTTTTCATTATTTAAATTAGTTTAAAGTTTTCTATCTAAGAAAACTCATCTGATTACATCAAACTGATTACATCAGTGCTGAAAGGCAGCCTTACTTACCAAAATTTATTTTAATAAATACAAAACACCAGATAAAACCTCTAAGATGGAGACATAAAGTTGACTTTTTTGTCCTAAATGGTGGCGTGATAAGCACAGGATGTCACTGATACTTATTTTATTCATTCACTCACAACAGGAATAACTGGTGTGAGTCATCACACACTATTACTTGTTAACTTATAATTTATAACAAAGTTAACAATAATGTAATTGTTAACTTACATAATATAATAATACATACATACTGAACAAGCTCTAGTCTAGGATCAAGGTGTGAAACTAAGCTGACAGCTGACTGGGCGTTTATGTGCTTAACATAAAACACATCAAATAAAAACCTCATAAGTCAACACAGTATCTTATCAAATCTCTAATTTATATTTGTTAGCTTTTATGTTTTGTGTATATTATGTTTTATTTGATTAGATTTCTTTAGTCTTACATGTAAAGACAGCTTAAACGTCAGCAGCTTAATGGTCATCACCGATTAAATCACTGCCTTCTTGTGCTCCTTGCTATTGTTTGTCTTGGTTTAAATAGCCTCGTCTTCCTCGTTGTGATGAGTCAAAACGTCCATCAGGTATGGAAGACTCCCGCTGCGTAAGAGGCCTTTGGTTTTCTCCAAGCCGTCACCCAGAGATCTGCATGGAACCAAATACTGCTTGTTCACCGGCACATCAGTCGGTTGATCAATCTCAAGATCTTCAGCGCTCATCCTGGAAATAATGGAGATTTTTTTTGAAGCTCAAACATAAATACATTATTATACATTCAAAAGGAGGCTCAGAAAAGGATTTGCTTTATTCTACAGCTGCATTGTGTCTGATTTCAACATTTGCCTTTTTTTTTTTTGGCTTTTACATTTTTAGCTAATCCTAAGCAAACACTGGATAATTTGCAAAGCATTAAAGCATCCATTAGGAGGGAAAAACACGAGAGCCGAAAAGGTATGTAGTCTTCTACCTTTATAGTTATTGTTGTGATTGTGAAGATTATTATAAAATATATGTATAATTGGTGTAAAAACAGCATTAAGTTTTAGAGTGGCAGATTCTGTAAATCATCAGACAAATATTTATGCAACCATCTTCCCACAGGTTTATCTCGTCTTGTATCCAACCATGATTTCAACACGAAAAGAAACGTCTCACCTGGCCACATTTTATTGGACACACATTTCCATTATGAAGAAAAACATAACACTTCCTTTGCCATCAGTACGAGAGCCGAAAAGGTATGTAGTCTTCTTGCTTGATTGTGAAGATTCTAACAAAATATATGTATAATTGGTGTAGAAACAGCGTTAAGTTTCAGAGTGGCAGTTTTATTTAACCTCAAACTATAATTTGATTAATCAGGAAAAGGTTTTCTTCAGTAAGATGGTACCATAGACGTGTAATTGATTAGTAATTAGAAAAATTACTAATTATATAAATAATTATTCATACAATTGTTTTGGCACTTGAAGTTGTTTTACAAATAGTTTAAATATTTGCAATACTAATACAATTATTTCCTGTAAAAACCATTTGACTTGCTGATGTGGATTAGTTGCCACATAAGCAATTTAGTCTTTGTTCTCAAAGTTTCCTCATTCTTGCATTGTGTGTAACCTCCTAGTAAAAGGAACATATGAGATGTAATTAAATATTTTTTACCCTTTAATTTTTTTTCATTGAAGTCAGCAAGCTTTAGATCTGTTCTCAGGTTTTGTTATAGAAATACAGAAAACTAAACAATGAACATATTTTCTTAACATATTTGTTAACATTTAGTTAAAATGTTAATTGTTCTCAACTCTCTTCAGCTAAAATATTATTAAATCAATATTAATAATGTGACAATAAATGCTGAATGGACATGTTGATCAGAGCAGGAGAAACAAGTGTAGAGGAGTTACGCCTCCTCACCATTGATTTCCTAACAATGATGATTTTAGATTTCAACTGGCAAGAAAAACTAATTGAATTGATAAATAAACACATATATATTAAAGCTGTTGCAGGCATTATTAATAGTTAAAAAATCACAACATTCAATGCAATTCTCACAGTTTTCAAGCAAATGTATAGTAATTTATTACTGACAACATTTTCACTTTGCAGGACACTGAACACTAGAGGAACTTTGAGGAACTTCACCAGGATAACTTCTTCACTTCATCCTTTTTTCAGCTGATTTTTTGCCGACTTCATGTGACTCTGATCAGCAAAACTTGACTTGCATTTTTTGTTAACCTACTTAATTATAAGTTGGTTATTTTCAGTTACTTTCCTTTAGACACTTTATTTAGTCTCTTGTTTTTACCACAAGCATAATGGCAAGTTTTTCACCTAAACGCAATTTCAGGTATTTTAATCAAGACGACTTTATGTTTGATCTGTTACGACATGATGTCAATGAAACCTTAAACATTTTAGATGTTGAAAAAGCTTTACAACATTTCAGAATGACTTTCAATGTAGTGCTTAATAAGCACGCTCCTGTTCCAAGTTCTGAACATCAGTCTACATTTAGGGATCGATCCTTTCCTCAAGAGGTCAATGAAGATGAAGGCCAAATATCAAATCCTAAACAAATCTGTGAAGCTTTCAATAAATATTTTACAGACATAGGTAATCTGTTTGAAAGAACCTATGGGCAATCTGTCTCAGCAAACAAACTTGATGCCAGTACAACACCACAGTACATTTTTGAGTTAAAAGAATTTACTTGTGAAGAAGTTTGTGAGGCTCTCCTAGACATGAATCCGAATAGTGCCGTTGGTGAAGATGGCTTTGAACCTTTAGTCTTACAAGGTGTGGCTCGCCAAGTAGCGATCTACATAACACACATTTTTAACCTCTCAGTTTCAACTGGAACTATCCCTAAAGTCTGGAAGGCCGCTTATGTAAAACCCATGCATAAAAGTGGTGAAACATCTGACCTTAATAATTACAGGCCGATCTCTAAACTTTCATGTTTAGCAAAGATTCTTGAAAAACTGATTAGCAATCAGCTGAAGTTGTTTCTAACAGAACACCAGATTTTACATGAACGGCAGTCTGCTTATCGAGAAAAACACAATAATGTGATGGCTGCTACTGTTGTTTTAAATGACATTGTCACTGCTTTGGACAATAACCAACACTGCGCAGTGCTTTTCACTGACCTCTCCAAAGCTTTCGATACAGTGGATCCCACTGTGCTTCTAAAAAAACTAAAGATGATTGGATTTGGTGAAAAGGCCTTTAAATGGTTCGAAAATTATTTCCAAAACAGACGTCAGAGTGTTACCAATGGAAAAGTTTGCTCACAGTTTCTACGTGTTGAAAACGGTGTTCCTCAAGGCTCTGTTCTAGGTCCTGTTTTGTTCAACATCTACATGGCGGATATTGCTTCATCCGTGACAGGATGTGACGTTCACATGTTTGCTGACGATACTGTTCTGTACTGCAGTGCAGGTGATGTTCAATCTGCCATCTCAACCCTTCAGCAATGCTTCAATGATTTACAAAATGAATTCAGGAAACACAAACTAGTTCTCAATGCAAATAAAACAAAGTACATGATTTTTACATCAGATGGAAATGTTGATGATGGACTCGTTCTCTCCAGTTTGGATGGCACAAATATTGAAAGAGTCAAAGAGTACAAATATCTGGGCCTGTGGATTCATGAGGATCTGAGCTTCACTCATCATGTGACAACATTGGTCAGTGATTTGAGAGAAAGAGTTGATTCCTTTCATAGAGGAAACTCACACTTTGACATAGAGAGAAAAAAAGATTTGGTTAGAAAAGTGTTTTTGACCAAATTTCATAAGGGTAACATTTTGTACATGCATGCCTCGCCTGAAGTTCTCACACAGTTGGATGATGTTTATCATTCTGCTTTAAAATTTATCCAAGGACATGGAGATGATGCTGATCATCATACGCTGTATCATGAAATGAAATTGCTTTGTCCCTCTCTGATGCGCGAGAGCCGCTTGTTACTATTTATTTATAAAGCTTTTAAAGGCTTTTTACCCCCTTACATTAAATCGATGCTTGTCAAAGATGAAGCAAGATCAGGTGACGCCATTTTTCTACAGGAGCCAATGGCCTCTACTGAAGTTGGCAAAACCAGATTTAGTTACTTTGGACCCAAAACTTGGAACAAAATGCAGAATGAACAAACACTTGATCATTCTGTATCTGAAGAGGAAGCCAAGTCTTCGATTTTGTCTTATCTGACTTCTGAATGTTCTTGTCGTTGCCGAAACTTGAGGCATCCTAAGTGGGGACTGTAGGCGTTATTTTCTTTGCTGACACTTATTTCTCTGTGAAACACAAATACTAAGATACTTGTGTTCATAATATGATGATTCTAATGATGTCTCTAGAAATGTGCTATGCAAATTAACTTGATTGATTGAATTTTATTTCTTTTATTGAAAGAAAATGAAACTGTCGTCTCAAATAAATCTTGCTTTCTTTTGCTCAAACTCTCGTCGTTTCTTCTTTTATTAACTTTTTGAGATGGTAAATTGTAGTTTCTACTCACCTCATGTCGAAAGTGGAGCCTTTGAACGCTGGTCTGAACGTCTCCGCCGCCGTCGACTGGGTGTAAGGCACTGAGAAGATGCTGTTCTTCCAGTGCTTGTCCTTCACAACCGGAGCCAGGTTCTGGTACATGTCGTCCACCGCCAGCATTGAAACCTGCAGGAGATGAGAATAAAGTTAAAATCCATATTTTAGGTTTGGCTGTGTCAGAGCAAGGCGCCGAAACACAAACCTGAATGTTTCGGTCGATCAGCTGGTTGGTTTCAAAGTCATCGTCGTCTTCACCAAAAGGGTTGATGATGAGCTCGCCTACCTACGAAACACACGCACAACTTTAACTACTTCAGTTTAATCTTACTGAGTTAGAAAGATAATATTTACTCTTAAAATTAATTTAAAAAACACTAACCTAATACAAATAAGAATGTCAATGTAGAAATATCAAACCACATTTATTTCTTATTGGTTTGATAATTTTTTCATCTATATCATAATATAAGGTCTGATTGGTAATAGAGTTCTTTGACTTTTGGTTGCAATCCAACTTTGTTTATTTATCAAATTTGCTAAAACATCTGCTGATCTGAGTGAGAAACAACTTAAAATACCGAACCACCATCATACTTCACTGCATAAATAATGTTTTCAACATTTAATAAGTTTTGGGCAGCTGGGCTTTTCATGACAGAGTTTATATTTCTGCCAAAGTAAATCACCACCATTATATTTCCGCTTAGATCTTTTTCTTTCAAAACAGGAATCAACATTTACCCTGTTATGTTTTTTAACATAGACACAAAAATTACAGCAGTGAATAAAATGTTCTTCCACTCTTAGTCTAAATTCTCTTCTCCATAGTTTTTTAACTGTTATTTTTTATTAGACTTTTCTCTGGCTAGCTGTGCACTTCCTGTTTCGCAGATCGGGTTGCTGGGAAACCATGTCTCCATAGCAACCACGGAATGCTGCCAGATCGCCATAGCAACCAGTGACTCAGCAGTCACTGGTTGCTATGGCAACCAGGAAAGAAAAGTTTAGTTCGTATATTAAAGATGATACAGCATTAATGCTCTTCGTGAAATAGAGTAAAGGAGGAGCGTCGGGTCACCTTCAGCCAGCCGGTGTAGAAGAAGAACTGCAGCAGGGTGAAAACCGGGACGTACATGTCAAATCTGTGGCCGCTGTATCCCTTCTCCGGATTCAGAAATTGTCGGCCAATGACGCAGAAGGCGAAAAACGAGTAAACCGCGATGGTTACCACCTGTGTGAGAATGAAACAAACACTTACAGGATAAGAACACACACTTCAGCTGTGAGGTCATCCTAAGCAAAACGTTTCTGACCCCAGGTAAATACAGGGCCAGTATTACTGATACCAACACCGACACCGACACCGATGCTTTTTATTATTTAGGGTTTTTATAACATGACGTTCTGATATTTATGTGTTTTTGTGGATTTTACTTTGAATAAATTTTTTAAAACCTAGGAAAAAGTTTGACAAATTTTATGGAATTTGTTAAGATTACATGAAGATAGTAAACAGAAAGAAATAGAAAACAAATCTGAGCTAATTTTTTCCTAAATGCACATTAGAGAACAAATCAAAACAAAACATGTTTAGACACCACAGAAAAGTAACAAAGAAAAACTTGTACAAATTCAAGAAAGAATCTGAAGCAAATTTTTTGACCACTCTAGTATCAATCCAATTCTGATACCAACTTGGTATCAATATGATCAATTTCTGCAAAGACCTTATTGGCCCCATTTATTAGTCTGACTGATGTTTCCCACTCAGGTTTAGAACTTAAAACAAATTTAAGTTAAAAGTATTTCCTGTTGTGTTGCATCTTATCATTTATTTTAATTAATACCTTGTTTCTCAATGATTAAAATGAAAGATTTAAAAAACCATTTCATACTGAATCTTTAAAACAGATTGTAAGTCATGTTTTGGGCTTCGTACCTGAGTGTAGACCAGAGGGATGCTGATCCAGTCGTAGTGGAACAACAAACTGCATTTGGCTCGGTAATTATTCAGCTCCTATTGACCCAGAATAAACATCACACATATATGCGTTTTATTTCACATTTGCAGAACTTTACTTCCATTTGAGTTCATCTTAATTGGTAGTTTTTTCCCAAACAGGAACAGCAAATATACACACGTAAAAACAGAAGTAGGTTTGTGTTTTATTTGTGGTTCCTGTTTGAGGAGAAGAGCTACTCACGTCCATCAGCAGCCGGAGAGCGATGTCGTCCCTGACCCGGCCCTCCTGCCGGGCCTGGGCCGCCAGGTTGGAGAACCACGTCAGCGGCATCCAGTACTTGTTGAAATCAGAGTGAAGAGACTCAAAATTCTTCAGCTCGTGTGTCGTCATGAATCCTGCGCAAATTTAAACAGGAAGTCAGGAAAACAAAACGTTTTATCATCTATTTTTAAAACTCAGTATTTCAGCTAAGTTTGTTCAGACAGACATTATATATAAGAGGTTGTTTTATGTCAATAATTCCTTAGTATTGATGGAAACGAAATAGTTTCGTTGGCAGATTATTTCACTTGTAACAATGGAAAAATGTTGCTTTAAGTGAAATAATCTGCCAATGGAACAAGCACATTTTGATCCATATTAAGGAATTATTTACGTGCAAAAAGTTCCTTCATCTTGCTGAAAGGTTACTAATAAGTTTCTTTTATCTTATTTCAAATGTAAAATATTTTGCAGTAGAAACTAAACCAAAAATTCTTGGTAAGATTTTATATTTTTTACAGTGTAGATCTTTCAAAAGTAGTGCTAAACATAAACATTTATAGCAATTTTATTTTCCTTTGATGTAAATGTGTTACATATATTATGTTTGTTATAGTTTTAGATTACGCTGCCCTCATGTGGAGGATCTGTGTGCAGGAACCAGTCAACTTATTACTAAGGCTTATGAGAAACTTGTCTTAGTTTACAAACTTTAACTATATTTCAATGTTATGTTTTGTTACATAAGAGCATCTAATTCAGTTATAGTTGTGGAAATGCTTTTGTTAAATTGTTTGGTTGCCGTTTCACAAGAGTGGAGCATTTCATGTGGCTTGGTTCAATCCATCACCTGCACAAATTCCCACTGGTTCCCACTTACACCAAGCAATGATGGTGGGACAGCAAATGTGAGAGAAAGTGGTCTGACTGGTGAACTGGTCAGAGTTGATATGAGGAAAAATGAAGTTAAACACAAGGAAATCCTGAAGAACAATATTTTTATAGGTCGTAGAAACTTAATCCAGAACATTAACAACCTTAAAGATGCAGACAGAACCAAGAATAACAATAATAATGGCTTAAATCAAAGAGTATTTATGTGTTCGAATGGTCTAGTCAAAGGTTGAATATAAATCCAAATGACTATCTAATGGAAAGCTTAAAAATTTACATGTACAGATAATAAATGATAAGCTACAAAGGTGTATTAGGCCCATAGTATATAGAAATAAACATTTCCACCAAAAAAAGCTAAAATTTTTTAGAATGATCTGAGAATTTTTCTAAGAAAATCTTGAAAATTTCTGAGTGTCAAAAGTCAAATTTTTTGGGAATTTTTGACTTCATTTCAGATGTTCTTCTCTGAAGTTTTTATTTTTTAAGCAAATTTCAACTTTTCAAACTCAGAAATTTCTGAGACTAATTTTTAAATTTCTATGTTTTTTTCTAGCTACTTTTTTACTTTTGAAATTCAGAAATTTCCTCGATTAATCTCAAAATTTGCCCCTCTTTTAGTCCCTCAGGACAGCAGTTGCTTGTTCAGTTTCATTGCAGTTTAAAAGCAGAAATCTTTCTGCAGAGATAAAACAGAACATGAACAAACAATTAAAGGGACAGAAAAACAATTTCAACCTGAATATTCTCTCTATTTGCCCCAATAAGGGGCAGTTTTGCTCCGGTTTCGTTCCTACCTGCCTCCACGACGTGCTCCAACGTTGGGAAGCGTTTGCGGACTCTGGTGCTGATGGAGCGGAGGATGAGGACCGACGACAGGTTGGCGTACCTCATGAGGGTCCGGCGCAGCAGGCGACCCCGGTCGTCGACGCCGTGCACGTTGCCCGACACCGCCATCATCAGGTTGTCCGGCAGCGGGAAGCTGGTGTACTGACCCCACCAACGGGTGAAGGCCTGGTTCACGTAGAAACCTGGACGGAACCAAATACAGAAATTCACTTCTTGTTCAGATCAACGGGGATGCTGATGGTACAGAAGAGGATTAGAGACACTGAAAAAGAAAAAAAGAAATAAATTTAGACCTTAATTTCAAAATTATGACTTCAATCTGAGTTTTGCGACTTTTTAATCTCATAATTTTGATTTTTCCAAATAAATAACCAAGCATTCTTAGGTAAATGTCAACTATGTTGTTAGTACAGTACATGAACAATAATCACAACTCTTTCAGCTTCCTTATAGGATTTATAAATGTACACTTTATCCACTGTCCAGATTTTTTTGGTAGATTTGACTTTTAAGACTAGAATATATTCATTGAATATTTAGACATTTCTGATTCTGAAGGAAAAAAATCAGAATTCTGAGATTAAAGTCAGAAGTTTGAAGTCAGAATTTTTATATTAAAATCAGAAATCTGAGAGAAAGATTCCAAAAATTCTTTAAATTTTTTCCCAGTGGCCTTTATCCTCCGCTGTGCGGTGAACATATTTTACCCAGGACAAACAGAACGGGGATGAAGCTCGTGTTGGTGAACTGATCACAGTAAAGGGCGACGCGCTCAAACAGCTCCTGCTGCCTCGGCGTGAGGAGGAGCCTGGAGACAGAAGCATCCTTCAATTATGCTGCAGCAAACAGCCACATAAATAATAACACAGAACATTAAATAAGCTGCTTTACCTGTAAAACACACTGAAAAACAGGTAGACGGCACAGAAAACCAGGAACTCCTTATACATCAGCTTGTAGATGCTTCCCTTCCACCTGAACAGCAGCCTGGAGAAGCCATGAAACCTGGCGTTGGCTACTTCCAGCGAGTACGACACGGTCATATTTAGGCTGCAGAAACACACAAAGCAACATTTAAAATGTGCACAACACTAGATATAAGAACGCAGATGCAAAAAGCGACGTCTCACCTGAGAGTGTTGGTGTGGTGTTGGATCTGCACCCTGAAGAAAGACTCTTTTCTTTCTCTGAATCTGAATTTAAAGCGCTCTGCTGAGTCGTCATAATTTACGGCCTCGGCTTTATTACCTGAGAACCTGCAGCCAGAGGCAATCACACCTGCTGAGATTTGAAGCATTTCTCGTATCAAAGGAAAACCAGATTGTTTAGGTGATTTGGTTACATCACACCGTTTTATTGTCTGTTTGACTCTCACAACATTTTTGATTATTCAGTGGGACTTCCTGTGTTGGTAGATGTCTAAAGCGCATAATTAAGACTCAAATTCGATTTATTTTTAATAACACCATTATATTACTACACAAAATAAAATCCCCAACTATTTAGACTCAAGTCAACCATTTCAGGTTATCTCTGATTCTGACCGAATGAATGTAAACTTTTGAATTCGAAGAAAGTTACAAAAACAAAAACCTAAAAAATGTTCTTGCCAAGGTATTTTTTATTTAACAAATAGAAATAATTCAAGTAACTGTGTTAAAACAAGAAAAGTTTGGTCTGATTTAACTTCAGTGAGAAAAAAAAGATTGTTTTATTGCATATGTAAATATCTTGTTCAACTGTACATACATGGGTGCAATTTTTATGACTTTGCATTTTAAAGCTCACATAATTTGAGATTATCATTCAAATCTTTGTGAAATAAATTTAGTTTGTTAGTATAGTTAGTTAATTTTAAATTTGTTTATATAACCTTTGTTTTTAACAAGACTTAATCTATTCAGTATGATGAACATAGTTAATAAATAAAAAATGAGCAAAAATAGTTAATAGGTACAAGGCTAACGTTAGCATGATGGCTATCATTAGCATATTGAGTCTGTAGATACTACCAGTAGGATGTGGGTTATCGCTAGCATGTTGACTAACACAAACTACTCCACTCAGTGTGCTAACTTTAGTGTATAAAGTTAAATTATTCAAAATTTTAAGTTTAGCTTAATTGATGCAAGTGATATGACTCAATATGCTAACGATAGCCATCCTGCTAACATTAGCCTTGTACCTAAAATAAGCACTTTGCATGAATTGATATTTATTAGCAATATTTACCATACGGAATGGATTTAGTCAACGTAAGTAAACATGCTACTGACATCATCCAGTATTCTAATAATAGTGTAAATAAATAAATTAAAATGATCCAAAATGCTAGCATAGGCTACTGGTGATGTTGTCTATGTTCAGCTGCAGATTGATTTGACCTCTGACCTCTCAAAATAAGCCGAAGTCCCTCTGTTAAACTCGTCTGGAGCCTCGGCTCATCCCAGCGCAAAAACATGTTTTTGAAATTGATCGATTCTAAAATGTTTTTTTTTCTTTCAATTTGCGTAATTTTTTTCAGAAACTAATGATAAATGTGTCCAAACAGGTTAGACGATTTTGTCTTAAGTATTTATTTTGTTCACAACACATTTCCACTACAAAATATGCTGACTCTGCAAGAAGAGTAACCTTTTTCTCATTACTTGTCAATTACTAACACAAAATCAGCTGGGAGACTTTGAACCTCATATCTTAAAAGAACAAACACCTCAGCACAGAAAATCAAACAGCCTGATTGCACAGCAGAGGTTCCTGGTGTTATTTACAAGTAGAAACTGAGATAAGAAGGATCCAAATGTCAGACTGGACCGAAGGTTTTGTCCATTTGTTTGTTTTTCACATGGTTAAAGTGCTGCACTGTAAATCAAACCGGGTTGGATCCGTCATACTTTGTCATTTGAGTTGAATTACTTTACGCTGAATGGACATTTATAGAGCCATCCATCCGGTACCTTACATTAGCCAGGTTGGACTTCCCTCTTTCCTGCCTGAATCTGCAGACGGATTTATGCTGATCCAATAAATCATCCCGCTGTGCGTCACTAGGTGGCGGTGTTGCTCTGAACCTGACATCACACACGTGGTTTGTGCTGCAACTTTGGCCATAAGACTTGTGTTTATCTAATAAACAAATCTCTCTTAAGGGTCTTTAAGAGGCAGAAAATGTTCACAAGTACTTCTGACACATTAGGGTTGTTTACAGCTTCTATGTGATATTATCTATAGAGTTACAACTACTGGTTGATTTACCTGAGAAAGATTTTGAACGGCTAATTTTCCAGACCCCAAAAACATTAATTTCTTGCCACAAAAAATTAGCAAATTTTATATTTTGCTCCGCCTGATGATACAATTTTTAAATATCAAATGATTTATGATTTTATCAGTTAATCAATACCTGAATTGCCTTTTTGCCAAATTATTTTACTCTTAAGTAATTTTTTGCATGGATACTTTTTACTTTTACTAGAGTTAAAGTATGTTGATTAGTGTTGAGTACAAATTTCTCCTGAATTTTAATGTTTCCATTTAGAGAACCTGTTTAGATTGTTGGATTGTTTCTAGAACCAACAATATTTTAACTTTCTGGTCTCCCTCCTGTCCCGTCGCACACTGGCTTACCTGTGGTCTTGGAGGGACACATCCCCAAGTCCCTTCTTGATCACTTCTGTAACCCAATGCTGTAATTACAACTTCCCACGGTGAATGAAACCGGAGACGCAGGAAAAGTGGGATTTCAGGTAGACAGTGTTGGCCTGAGTCCTTGTTGGGGCTAAAAAGCCGAGAGGCCACAGAGAAAGAAAAGCTCTGCAGAGTGGAAACCTGCAGACAAGCTCTGGATTTGCATCCCTGCATCCCTTTATTTATCACTTCAAAGAAGTAGGCTTCAATAATGAAAGATCTTAATTTTTTTTGTAAAATATTTAGCATGTTTTGCTATCAAGGCAGTTTGGGAAGGTTGGTAAGCAATTATGCAGTGCTCTATTTCATTTTAAGCTTTTCAAAATAAAATAAAACAATCTACTTATTGCATTTTATCAATAAGTATGTCTGAGCAACTGCAATGTTTTACCTTTTTTTGGCTAAAATGTGACAGCTAACAATAAAAAGAGGACAAAAGCACAAAATGTTGCCACGTAGTTTTGGTTTAATTCCTGCTGCAAATATCTCAGTACGCTTGAAATAAGTCAAAACTGACTTGCAAGTAACTTTTCAGCAAGACTTGACTTGTTTTAAGTCAATTATTCCTTAATATTGATGAAGTAAAACGCTGTAGAAGAATTCTGATCAAATTCACTGAAACATTTTTTTCAGCCGTCCTTGAACAAAACTTAAATGGAAAATATGTGCGAACCTGACTGGAAAATCCTCCTCAGCTCTTTCAATTCCAGGAAGTCCCACCCTCGCTGCACCATCCGCTCAAGCCAATTAGCTTGCAGAGGTATAAAGTGTGAGAGTGAGCCGTGCGTCTGTTTTCCACGTCGCAGATAACAATCGAGTGTCTGTATCGTGCACTTTTACCGTGACCTGGATGTTGGGCCTGGTCTATTGTGCAGCAGGTGTGCTGTCCTGCTGACTGAAGCGACTCGGACTGATTTTGATCTCAAACCAGCATTAAGTCCAAAATCTCTGACCTTTTCCAGCTCTGCTGTCAGACTTTCTGACAAACTAATTTGGAAAATTTCTATTTTGCCTGATTTTCTTTTTTTTTGTTACTTGTAACAAAAAAACAAGATTACAACCAAACTTTATACTTTGCTCCGCCTCATTTTAAATATTAAATGATTGATAATTTATCTTTTTACTCTTGAGTCTTGGACAATTGCTCTTTACTTAAATATGTTGAAGTAGTGCTACTTTTGCATAAGTACAATTTTTGGGGACTCTACATAATAATAAGCTTACAAACTATTCAGTCTGTATTGTTAGAAAATATTCAAATTTCCCAATAAAGCTCTATTTTCTCAAGGTTTTCTGCAGTAATGTGACAAACATAATAGGCATAAATGCTTTTAGAAGGATTTTAAATGTAAACACCTTGAAAAAACATGTTTTTATTTTTATTTTTAGTTCCTCCGTTCTGCATGTCCCACAGGGAAAAGGTCCAGATTGAATCATTTCCTCTTGCATTGTGATACTTCAGAGGTTGAACTACACTACAAAAAGTCTTTCTACTAAATTAAAAATAGAAATTCAACTTCCAAACACAGAAAAATGTCACAGCTCTCATCTAAGAAAGTATAGAAACTTTCTCAATGCTTGAAATGTCTAAAAAGCTGAAGTTATGAATCATTTCCAGTTTCTCAGTTTATTTATAAAGCATTATAACCAAATAGTGCCTGTAAAACAAAGACACTACAAGAGAATCAAACTCCATTGTGTGTGTTTTCTATCACTGGATTATGGACCTGAATGTATTACTGTACAAATATGGATGGTTCTGATCAGGTTGTCATACAGATAATATTTTATTTTATATGTTTTTATCTGGTGCTTGTGTTTCTTCTCATGCCGCCCTGGGCTACCACCCATTTTTAAAACCCTACTGGGTTTACTGGTTCCACAAAATAACTAAAGTACAAAAAGGAACTTTATTCTTGAAAAAAAAAATACAATTGTCAGGTTCTATAAAAACATGTTTTTTCTTAATTGTAAAATTAAACAATCACAGCTTTGTTTTATTTTCATGTCAAAGAAAAGAATCAAACTTTCACAAAAGATAAAAATATTTTTTTCTTATTGAGTCATTTTTAAAAATAGGGGCACAAAATAATGATCCCTCCTTAAAAATAAAGCTCATACCTTGGAGGATTAGAATGTGGTGAAATAGGAAAATTGGTCTCTCAAACAAATTTAATTAAATGCATGTATTTCATTAAAACAAAAAATGTTTTCAGTCCTTCAATGAACTTTAAAGCTGCTGACAAATTAATTTTTTTTTTTTAAATTAAGTGCAAAACAACTCAAAGTATTTAAACACAGCCAAAAGCAGGTATATCTCAGCAGACCATGATTTGAGTTAAATTACAAAAAAATAAAAAAAATTATTTCTAATTCTACTTCAGTGTCAGATATAATCGGAATTGTAAAAAAGTGCACCGTTATTTTATGCTGGGGTTTTAATGGATAAGTTATATTGCTAAAGATAAAGCTCCAGTAAATAAAAAACATTCACTGCTGCAACATCAATTCAGGAGCTGATATGACATATTTTCTTTGGCCAGTTTCTTCCAATTAACATCAGATAAAATAAAAAAGGTTGTTATAATGAGGAGTGCTGAAAACGTTTTCTGTGAGAAACAGTTTTAAAGCAAATGTTCTCAGATGTTTTGATAGTTTTATAAATACCTGTAGCTCAGCTAGCTGGGCTGCTAATGCTAGCTGGTACATAAACAGGAATAAGTAACATGTATTGTTGTTTTTATCCATCTTTATTACAGAGTTTACAACATTTGTATTCGCTAAATTAGAACAGCAACGTCTTTGCTGTTGCGTTTCTGTTGGAACAGCTATTTTTTAAGCTAATGCTAATGCTAAAGCATTGTTGTTAGCTGGATTTTTCTTGAAATGATGAATTTCCTGTTGCTACATCCAACTATATCCATGTTTAAAAATTTCAGTTATTGATTTGAAGTTCAAGGTAGGTTAGCTTCTTCTTTATTTATGCGACGCAGTAGCGCCGCTACCAGCTAACCAAGCATGATGATGTTTCATGGTGTTGTTTGGAAACCGTAACCTAGCAACCTCAGTGAAGGGCATGTCTACCTAGCAACCCAAATGGCGGTTTGCTGGTTTTATGGCTGTAGGTACAATGGCTGCTGAAATAAGTGTTTTGTTGGCGCCTTACTATCCAGAAACCACTTGTTGCCTTTTTGTTGGTAACGCAGGAGGCTGCACTTAATGCTTTTCAAAGCTGTACGGTTGTATAATTGCATATCTGTTTGCAGCCACCTTCACATGTAAATGTTGGGTTGGTGGACTTGACCAGACTATAATCTCAATATCTAAGAATGATTTTTGTAAAAAAAAATTAAAAATGCAGTGAACATGTTTGGACCAATCCTAACCTGTTTGTTGAAGCACAGTTGATCACCTTCCACCATTTCTCAGTGTCATGACAGATTTACGTTCTCATATTCCCCGTGGTCCGAGTCTTCCAGCTCGATGCCCGGCACCAGGCTGTAGTACTCAGTGGACTGAGTCAGATACACCTTCTCTCTGTCTGCAGAGTCTTTCATCACTTCTGTCACGCTGACCGTGTCCAGCTCCGTCTTGCTGGCCCGGTCGGGCTCCTGGGGGCCCTGCCTCCCGTCCGAGGAGCCGGGAAGAGACTCTGCTGAGCTCAGCTTGATCTCCACATCCTCGTAGATGTCCCTGGTGCTGCCCAGGAGACCCGAAGCTGGGCGGAGCAGCAGCTGGTTCTTCAGGATCCCCTCCTTCTTGCAGTCGGCAGCTCTGCTCGGCTCGGCGCCGGGATCCTGCTGCTTGTTGTGGTGTTTGTTGTTGCTGCAGCCAAAGGTGGGGGGCCTCTTCCTGGAGGAGCTGAAAGTGAGAGTTTCCTTTTTTTCTCTCTTCCTCCCACAGCACCAGCAGAGCAGCAAGGCGGAAAGGATGAGGAGAGGCAGGACGATGAAGAGCGCCGTAAGGCCGGCCAGGCGACAGACGTCGCTGACGCTCAGGGACCACACCGTTCTGCCGGCGAGGTGACGAGGAAAGAAGCACGTCAGGTTCCCCACGAGATCCTCCAGCCGGGCCGTCCTGTTGGCCTGCCTGCCGGCCTCCAGCCCTTCCAGGAACAAACAGGAGCATTCCCACTGGTTCCCATCCAGCCCCAGTTTATGAAGACTGGGAATCTGGAGTAAATCACCAGGGAGGGAGCGCAGCTGGTTCCCCTGCAGGTCCAGGCTCTGGAGGCGATCAGAGTCCTGGAGGAAGCCGTTGGGAATCTCCTGGAGTAGGTTCTGACTCAGGTCCAGCTCGGTCAGACTGGGCTGGCCCGCCAGGAAGTGCTCTGGCAACTTTCTCAGTTTGTTCCCATCAAGAAAAACTCTCCGCAGTGAAGAAGCCTGCTTTCCGCTGACATTAATAAGGCTGATGTTGCAGTTGGAGAGATCCAAAGTCTGTACGTTGGTGCCATTGGTAAACACAGACCAGCTCACGTGACTGAAGGCAGACCCAGAGAAGTTCAAGCAGCAGGCATCAGCAGAAACCTCCGAGGGAAACTGGGACAAGACAGTAGCTGCTGGACAAATGCATCCATGAACCGGACCGGTCTTCAACAGTAAGGCCAACATCAGGAGATTCCAGCGGAGAATCATCTCTGCAACAAAAATCACAGGGAAAATGAATTCATCAGTTCCTCCACTGCAAAAACCATACCAACTATTTTGGGTCTAGTTTCTAGTGCAAATATCTTTGTACTAGGCCTGCTAACCAGATGTCAGTTGCAATCTGTAATTTTTATAATTTGTTAAAACTGTCAGCACGTTGTGATAGTAAAGATTGATCTCCTCCATCTTAACTTTCATCCCAATTTACTTGAAGACAAAACTAACTCTGAAGTAACTTTACAGAAAGATATAGGAGCTTATTTTAAATGGATAATTCCTTAATTTTGATGAAAAGGTACAAATTTCACTGATATATTATGTCACTTATAACTTGGGAAAATGGTCTGCTAGTGAAACCAGCACTTTTAAAAATCAACATTAAGGAATTATTGACTTAAAACAAGCTCCTTTGTCTTCTATGTTTTATTTCAAGGGTTCTAAGATATTTGCACTAGAAATTAGACCAAAACTAGTTCTTGTTTCTGCAGTGTTTTATCCCTCCTCCAGGCTACCTGCCTCCCAGTCCTCTCACAGACCAAGATGGCGGCTGATATGCTGGTAGACTCGGCTGCTTCTCTGAGGACTCCTGTTTGCTTTGAGGGTTGTAAAAGGTTGCATGGCAACTGGGATCACTGGGGAGCGGCTGCAGGAGAGGAAACAGATGCTTAGTAGATGAGAACAACATTAACAACACAGTTCAGCTGCCTTGGCTTGGCAGTTTTCACTTTTAAGATGAGAGCTTCTTACGACACCTAGACCTGCTTTAAATGTACAAATTCAAACTTTGTACCTTTTGTGCTTCCATTTGGGTTTCTACTGCTTCTAAAAACAGAAAAAGTCTTTAAAAAACACCCAACTGTTTTTTGGTGTCTGGAAAACGAGCGGTTTCAAAAACCAACAGAATGTAACATCACAAATCAGCAGGGACTGCATTGCTACCTCGCAACCCCAGTGAAGCCCAGCCTGTCACCTAGCATCAGCTGGTTTTACCACTGTATGCGCTATACAATGGCTGCTGGAAAAGACAGGTGTTTTGTTGTTGACTTGCCGTCCTGAAATTGCTTGCTGCATTCTTGTTGTTTGTGCAGAAGGCTCTACTTCTGCCTTTCGAAGATGTGCAGGTGCATAACTGCAAATCTGATTGCAGACATTTTCACATCCTATTTCGCTCCCTGCATTCATGAAGCCTCTTTTTCAACTCCTCTGGGATTTAAGGATTCCCACTGGTTCCCATCCAGCCCCAGTTTATGAAGACTGGGAATCTGGAGTAAATCACCAGGGAGGGAGCGCAGCTGGTTCTAGTACTGGTTCTAGGCCTAGTACTAAGATATTAATAGGTTGGATATTATTTTAGCTTGAGATGCTAACTAGCTCTCCAATAAAAACAATACCTTGTCAGCACAAAAATGTGGACAAAAGCCTTGAAAACGATTGAAAGAGAGCTATGCTACTGTTAGCATAGCTGTTTGTGGTATTTGCCTTCTTGGTTCTTTACTGCTATTTTAAAGAACCACTAAACATTGGCTAACAAAATCTTCATCCTTATGTCACTTTAATGTCTCTTTTTGTATTTTTTTAGCTTCTTTCTGCAGATACAGTGCATGAAGAAAGATTAGCATAGCTTAACCTCTGCCTTTTTCTCTGCTGACCACAGCCCTAATCTCTCTAACATCCAGATATCTGCTTCTTCGGCTGATAAATCATGTTTGCCGGCTGATAAATCATGTTTGCCGGGTCGGCCGGTTCAGCTTCCATGTTGGCCACAGCTGGACCAATAAATCCCAGACTCCCTGCAGATGTAGTCAGAAAACAATTAACAGGAGATTGAAGAAAGAAACGTCAATTTAGGTTTTTTCAGCAACAGTCTGTCACAAAAATCCCGTAAAGTTTGCCAACATGGACCCTCACTTCCTGCCTTTGTTAAAGAGCCTCGCTGAATATTCTCAGAAACGGCCTATTTCTGCCTGTTTTATGTGGCATCTCTTGGCTTTGCATTGAATTAAGAAAGTAAAGGTCAGTTTGTGGGAAACTGAAAAACTTTACAGCGGCTCTACGCCAAAGTTTTGCTTTCTTCATCAACATGACCTTTAGAGATAAAAAGAAAGCAGCGGTTATTGTTTCTCGATAACTTTAGCCATAATCTGTAAGGCCTCAGTGAAAATTACATGACCTTAAACGACGTGTAAAGATATTTAGTTGTTTATTTATCTTCAAAGATTCCCACTGGCTCCTGCAGTGAGTTTAATTAAACTCAAATTAAGTTCAAAAGTAGTTGTTGTAACTGAAATTATTCGAGATTTTTTGAAGAGTTGTTGGTAGATGGTGATGGCAGGGGGTGGGAAGCATCTCCTGTAGCAGTCTGTATACAACCAATTTGAAGAAGCCTCTGACTGAAGACACTGACATTACAATAAGTGCATTAATTCCAGCTTTAGGATGGGAATATTGGAGTCTACTTCTGATGCCTCTTTGTTTGCAAGAACAATTGATTTATATGTTAATTTTTAAATTGAAAGTTCTTTCTAAAGGAGCACGCAAACGCAACAACGCAAAATCTTACCAAGCATTTTTGATCTATTTTTTAGTGAAAAAAATATCTTTGTACACTTGAAATTAGAAAAAACTAACTTATCAGTAACTATTCAGCAAGTTATATTAGCTTGTTTTAAGTCATTAAGTTCTTAATATAATAAAACAGTACTAGTTCAGTGACATTTTATTTAATTTTTAAAAACTTTCTCATGTCATAAGTCAAATAATCTGCCAGTGGAATTTATTTAACTTTGAAATTTTTAAATGTTGCTTTGAATTATACTTATCTACCAATATTATGTTTGATTAGGGCCTCCAAGAGCAAATATATTTGTAATTTTTTCAGTTTGCTGCTACTTTAAGGTTAAAATGAATTTACATAATGTTTGTACCATTAGCATAATTAGAAATTATACGAATGGTAGCAAAATTAGCATAACTTCTGTTATCATTTAGCACTTGCGTTTGCTCAGGAATGATGATGCATTTCTTGTTGACATGTTGGTATATGGGGGCCCCAAGTGAAAATCTGCTCCGGACCCCAAAAATGTTTTGACCGGCCCTGTCCTTTCGCTTCCTTCATGCTGTCTTACAGATTCTGTTTCAGGGATTTCCTCTGACTGCAGGTCAGGATGTTTTCAGGCCTGAGTCGGTGAGTAAACCTGAGAAAAGTAGTGCTGATCCCCTGTAGTTAAATCTTTAAGAAACAGAATATAATCGTCTTGGTTTTATTTGAGAAACTGAACGTTCTCTGTGTTCAGGTACAGGAGGCCATCTTGCATCATCACTGTTCAAACAAACAGCCTTTTCTGCTTCCTGTTTGCTTCACACGTTAGTTATTCATGGTGGCAGGCCTTGTTTATGTTCCCCACAGTCAGACTGAGGCAGCGCTGCTCCTCGCCTCAGATCACCAGTAATTAGTTTATTTATGTCTCCAAATCATCGGCTTCTGCCAAGTGTTTTCATCTGACTGTCTCCCAAAGCAGAAATGAAGCCTAGGCGTAAATTCAATTTGGAAGACTCTTTAGCCCCTCCCGCAGCTTTCAGTAGGCGCTTCCCGCTAATCACTGACGACCTATCATCGCTAGACTTAGCCATGTCGCAGCCAATCACCGACCACGCCTCAGTTCATAAGGACGTCCATCCAAAGTGCCTCCCGTTTCGCTGCTGCGCTCAACACGTTCAGTCGCACGTCCCAGCTTCCCAGCAAACCATCCCAGCGGATCCCTTTCTTGGTGATTCCTTGCGTACAGCTGCTTTGCCGTGTCCTCGACCCTTCCTTCCCCATCAGACGCTCCGAATCTGCGCTCATCAGTCGCACACCAGCCGCTCATCAGCCGCTCCCAGCCGCTCATCAGCCGCCCTCGCCGCTCTCCAGCCGCATACCAGCCGCTCATCAGCCGCACACCAGCCGCAGCCGCCCCCAGCCACTCATCAGCTGCTCCCAGCCGCTCATCAGCCGCACACCAGTCGCTCCCATCGGAGTCATCACGCGCCCCTCCGGGCTCCGGGGGTGAGACGTATCTTCTCATGTTTTGAAATGCTAAGAACGCGAATCGTCCATTTAATCCATCCCTTCCCGATCTAGCAGGTTTTATTCGTATGTGCCACCCTGGCTGCGTTTTGATGCTTTAGGACTTTTGCTTGTATGAATGCTTAAACATCCCAATAATAGTAGCATCACGCCTAGCGAGAGCCAGGTGGATCACCTAATTCCACAACGTCCCCACTCCGTAGTATCGTCAAGCCTCATAGATTACTTTGAACACACGGACCTCCTGCCCCCCCCCCTCCCCCCCCCCCCCTCCCCCCCCCCCCCCCCCCCCCCCTTTTTCCCCTCCTTCCCCCCCCCTCCCCCCCCCTTCCTTCCGTCGTCAAGCCTCATAGATTCCCCACACCGGACCTCCTGCTCCCCCCTCCGATCCCCCCCCTCCCCCCCCCTTCCTTCCGTCGTCAAGCCTCATAGATTACTTTGAACACACCGGACCTCCTGCTCCCCCCCTCCCCCCCCCCCCCCCCCCCCCCCCCCTCCCCCCCCCTTCCTTCGTCGTTTTCCCCCTCTCTCCTCCCCCTCCATCCCTCCCCCCCCCCCCCCTTCCCCCCCCCCCCCCCCCCCCCCCCCCCCCCCCCCCCCCTTTCCTTCCGTCGTCAAGCCTCATAGATTACTTTGAACACACAGGACCTCCTGCTTCCCCCCCCCTCCTAACCCCCCTCCCCCCCCCCTGCCTTTCCTTCCATAGTCAAGCCTCATAGATTACTTTGAACTTATAGCCCCCACACCGGACCTCCGTTGCTCCCCCGTGCACAAACTCTTAATCGCAGCAAGCAGAAGAGACGGAAGTGATATTTCATTTCCTGGTTTCCGCAGCTTATTCTGTAGCTTGCTCAGTATTTACATCTTTTCCACTCCCGTAACCTGCTTTCCCAAAAGATAATTTCTACAAGCATCCCTCATCGTCTCTCTCCATCAAACTGTCATGCCTGAACCATTGTGCCAAATCTCTCCTCACACCCATGTCACAAAATGGCATCGATCAACTCATCTTCTCCACTGTTGCGGCCTAATTGTTTCAACGTCTTACCGCTAAGGTATTTCTCTTTGTTCAGTCCATTCCAACTCTAGCCTACACCATCTACTTCCATCTCAGCCCCTTGTCATGCATCGTAATGGTATTCCCTTTTCAGTTCCCATTCTCCCTATTCTAGCCTTAGCTTTCATGTATATATATCTATAAATATATATATATATAATATATATATTTTTTTTTGTTTGTTCCTGTTGTGCCAAGCCCCTCCTTCCTGCACATCGAAGTTAGAATCTATCTGTCGTCCCTAAGCCCTCTGGATCATGTTAAACCAGTCGTTACTTCTCTCAGTGCCTTTTAAAGCACTGCGCATTACTGGTGGTGGTTGGTCAACCTCATGCTAATGCATGCTCTCACCTGCCAATGTCATACATGTTTTCATTTATATATATTTTATTTCCCCCCCTTTTTGTTCTTCACCCTTCTTGTTGGGCCCATTCCAGAACGGTCTCTTCTCCCGCCCACCTACTCTATCCGTAACCTCGTGCGTCTAATCCCAGCCCCTTTTACCTCATGTCCAGTAGCAGGCAACCATCTTCCCTCTTTCTAGGCAGTTGCTTTTGTATCCTCTTCTCGTCATCTTAAGTATCGCTCAGCCGGCCTCTTTCCTTTAGCTAAAACCTCTTTAGCCTCTCCATCACTTCAGCTAGCTTTTCCCATAAGCTCTTATCGCTCTATTGCCGCTTCCCTCTTACTCAAGTCTTTGCCCATACGCCTCGAGTTACCGGCTTCGATCTCTTCTCACTTTCTCTGGCTCTAATTTCAGCTTCAGCTCTGACCTCAGCTGTCTCTTATGGGGGCATGATATCCCCTACCACCTATACTATTTCTTAGCTGGCTCTCTTCTACTAACATTCTATCATCCCTCGTCCTGCTGCGCTCTCAGCTGGCCTTCATCTCCCAGCTTTCTCTCATTCCTCGTCCTGCTGCATTCTCGGCTGGCCTTCATCTACCAGCGTTCTCTCATTCCTCGTTCCGCCGCGTTCTCGGCTTGCTTTCATCTACTAGCGTTCTATCATTCCTCGTCTAGCCGCGTCTCGGCTAGCCTTCATTTTTCAGTGATCTATTATCTCTCGTTCTGCTGCGTTCTCAGCTGTCCTTCATCTCCTGGCATTCTATCATCCCTCGTTCTGCTGCGTTCTCAGCTGGCCTTCATCTCCCAGCGTTCTCTCATTCCTCGTCCCGCTGCATTCTCGGCTGGCCTTCATCCACCAGCGTTCTCTCATTCCTCGTTCTGCTAAGTTCTTGGCTGGCCTTCCCTACCAACT